GTATGCCACTGCTTAACTGGCAGGCTCTCATGGAGGAACAGGTGGCCGGCACCGTCTTCACAGAGCTGGATGACGAAAGTGTGCTTGGGGTCAGTTCTGTGTGTGTTTTAACTCGACTTGTTGAAATGTATGATGAAATAGAGGCACCTAAAGAGTATTACCCATTATAAACCTTTGCTGCTTTGTGCTTCTTGAAATATATTGTTTAATAATTAAAAAAATATTTTTTATATAAACTGTTTCAAAATTAATAGAATTGTTGTTTTTAATATTTATACATTTTATTTTTTATTTAAATGCATTAAACAGGGTCACCTAAAAATAGAGTTGTTAGAAACATTTGTAGCTTTTTTCTTTAAATATATTTTTGAATTATTTATAAAATATATATTTATATAGAAAATATTCTAGAATTTTTTTTTTATAAATGTTATTTTAACAAAAAAAAAAAAAGAATGTTTTAGGGCACGTCTTTCCCTCTTTGTTTGTGTGATTCTAACCTGGCTAATAGGAATGCATGAAAAAGGGCCACCTGTTTTAATATTTATAAATTATACTTTAATTTAAAAAAAGCTAACTTTTTAAGGGGTAGTTTTTGGAAATGCATGAAATAGGGTCTCCTGAAAATACAGTTGTTAAAAAGATTTGCTTTATTATAAAACATTTTAAAATGAAATGTAATTTTGTTTTTAATATTCATGTTTTTTTTGCCATTTCTTCTTTAAATATATTTGTTAATAATTTATAAAATATGTATATATACAATATTTAAAAGAAAAATACATAATTTTTGTTTTAAACATTTATACATGCTATTTTAATGTTAAAAAAAAAAGCTAAATGTTTTAGGAATAATCTCAAGTGGTTAGAATTAGCTCAACATTCATCATCAGAGTTTATTTGAGAAACTAAAGCTGATGTCACTCACCTCCCTGTCTTTGCTCTGTCTGAAGGAGTTGAATATGGACGTCTTTGAGGAGTTGTTCAAAACTAAAGCTCAGTCTGCTCCTGTTGATGTCGGCACTCTGAAGGTGAAAGTGGCTCATAAAGCATCCAGTAAAATCGCACTACTGGAGCCCAACAGGGCCAAAAACCTCGCCATCACGCTGCGCAAAGGAGGCATGAGCACCGCGCAGATCTGCACTGCGATCCAATCGTGCGTACAACAGACACAATTTTGATACAACCAAAATTTGCATGTTTCAAACTAATCCCAAAGCTCTCTGTGTGCAGGTATAATCTGGATTTGCTAAACTCAGACTTTCTGGAGCTGCTGGAGCGTTTCATCCCGTCTGATTATGAGCTGAGGTTGATTGAGAAATACGAGCGTGAAGGACGCCCCCTGCTGGAGCTGTCGGAGGAGGACCGATTCATGGTGGCCTTCAGCAAAATCCCGCGTCTGGCACAGAGAATCAGCACGCTGACCTTCATGGGCAACTTCAGCGAGAGCATCCTGCTATTAAAGCCTGTCAGTAAATATATTAGCAAAGACACTTCAGTTCTATTACTTATGAATGGGAGAAACTGCAAAGCACCCGCCTTCTGATTTAAACAGCCAATGGCTGATTGGTAAAGTCATTGCGTCACCGCAGCTGCTGTTTGAAGCTCGGTCTAGCTTGAAAAAAAAAAGCATTTTTAATGCTATTTAAGCATAAGGGATAACATTCATGGGGCAGTTAATTTCGGATTTTGTTGCTGATTTAAAATATATAATTTAATTGTGATATTTCAGGCTTCCCCCATTCATTTAGATAGGACTTGAAAGGGACTGTGATATTAGGAGGATGCATACTTGAAAAAAAAAAAAAAAAAAAAAAT